GCTGCAGGGAGCAGTGCCCCAGCACCCCAGGGTGTCTCCAGGAGATGTTGCTCAACCCCACCTGTGTGTCCCCGTGTCCCCACAGCGCTGGGGATGGGGTTTTCTCCCAGGGGGGCACAGGGGTGTCCCATGGGACTGTGCATGGAGAGCAGCTCTGCAGCAAACCCTGTTAAAACGAGTTTGGAGATGGTGGGTTGTGTGGGGTTGGGCTTTCCCACCACGATGCCCCCCCTCACTTAACACCCCTCTTCTCTTTAGGGACCACCTGGCTTCCCAGGGAAGGTCGGTCCTGCTGGGCCACCCGGGCCCATGGCTGAGAAGGTGAGTGCCAGCAGGACGTGCCTGAGTGGTGGCACCACAGGTCCCTCGGGCTGGTGGCCAGGTTTGGTCCCTGCCCCGTGGGGTGACCAAGGGGTGACCCAGCCCCAGCTGCTCCTGTGACTTCCTGTGGCTCTTGCAGGGCAGTGAGGGCATGCGTGGCCCCACGGGGATGCCAGGGCCCCCTGGACCACCTGGACCTCCTGGCATCCAGGTAAGACCCCCTCCACCATGCCAGCCCTGGGGACAGAGGGGACAGGATCACCAGTGTCAGGGTGCTCCTGAGGAGTGCTGCTGGCTGGAGCCTGCTCCCCAGAGACCTGTTCCTGTGGCCTGGGGTGCCCAGAGCAAGTCCCTCAGGGACACTTAGAGCACCTCAGTGCAAACCACCCTCTGACACCCTCTCCTTGTCCCTGCAGGGTCCTGCTGGCTTGGAAGGACTGGATGGCAAGGATGGCAAGCCAGGGCTGCGGGTGAGGCTCTGGGGCTCTCCCAGGTGCTGTCAGGGGCCCCCCCTCCCCTGCAGCCCCCCCAGAACCCCCCCCACCCCTCTCTCTTTCTTCCCAGGGTGACCCTGGGCCCCCTGGACCACCGGGAATGATGGGTCCTCCAGTGAGTGACAGCATTTCTTGTCACCCCTCCCCAGTGCTCAGTGCCTAGCACGTCCCTGCAGCACCAGGTGTCCCCTGAGCTGGGACTGTCCCCTTGCTCCAGGGGACACTGAGCCCGACGGGGTGGGTGGGGGTCCCTGGCACCTCTGTCTCCTTGCAGGAGCTGGATTCCCCACCCAGCTCTTTTCTCCCTCCAGGGCTTCAAGGGGAAGACAGGGCACCCAGGTCTGCCGGGACCAAAGGTGAGCGATGGTGGCACTGGGGAACACTTGGTGGTGACAACCCCAGGAACCCTGGTCCTGGGCCAGGGTCTCCACACACTGCCCACCATGTCCCTTCCTCCTTTTAGGGTGACTGTGGCAAACCTGGCCCCCCAGGGATCACAGGCCGGCCAGGAGCGGAGGTGAGTGAGGGGGGGTGTGGGCACAGGACCCCCAAGCCGGGTGGTCCCCATGTCACCTCTCATCACGCTGCCTTTCCCAGGGTGACCCTGGACCCATGGGACCCCAAGGCCGCCAGGGACCCCCAGGGCTCATCGTAAGTTGGACCTGTCCCCCCATGGTGCCTGTGGTGGGGGGCAGAGTGGAGCCTCCCTCCAGCGCAGGGAGTGGGGGCATCACCACGGCCCCCCCAGCTGATCCCCACCTCTCTCTGCCCCCCAGGGCCCCCCAGGCAGCCCGGGGCAGCCGGGTCCTGCTGGTCTGGCTGGTGTGCTGAGCAGTGCCTGGGGCAGGAGCCTGCCCCATCACCGCCCTCACTGCGGGGGTGCAGGGTGTGTTTGGGGGTCACTGGCCCCACTCTGGGCTCTCTCCAACTCTCCCTCCTCCTGCCTCCCCGCAGGGGCTGAAGGGTGAGAGGGGCTCAGCAGGGGAGCGAGGTCTGCCAGGGATGCCAGGACAGCCGGGACCTCCCGGGCACCCGGGACCACCGGTGAGTCCAGGGAAAGGAACGAGGGGTGACACAGACCCCTGGAACCCGGTGCAGTGGGGACATGGAGCACAGCACTGAGCCCCTCACCATCTCACATCACCCCACTTTGATTTCGTAGGGGGAGCAGGGAGCAGATGGACCTGTTGGTAAAGAGGTAAGAGCAGCAAGACCTGGAGCTGGTCCATGGTGTCCTGCCAGCCTGGGCACTGTGTCCCCAAGGGGCTCACACCTGGGACGTCACTGCCACCCTGCTCCTCTGTTTCTCCCCAGGGACCCCCAGGAAAACCCGGTACCGTGGGACCAGCTGGCCAGAAGGTGAGGGGGGAGCCCAGCCGTGTCCCCCACTGCCACCCCGCTGTCCCATATCCCTGCTGGGGGTGCCGGGGCTGAGCCCCAGTTCTCTGTGTCCCCACAGGGTGAAGCTGGTTCCCCCGGCGAGAGGGGCTACCCCGGCGAGAAGGGCAGAGCCGGGATGCCCGGGGGGCCGGGGAAGAG